AACAATAAAAAACCAACAACTTTAAAATTAGTAATAATTTCCCCGCTAATTTTTAATTCAAATGACGATTCCAAGAAAAACTAATCTATAGTGAACGTTGAAAATCACTTTTGAATTTTTTTCTAGATCAGTTCAAAGCACTTTTCTTGATTACAAGCCTAAAATAAAGAATATTTAACACACTCTAAATTCTTATCAAAACTCACATAATCGAAATACCATTTAGCATTCGTTGAGTTGCCAATATCTTTTAAACTTCTTCCAATCCGCAGAGTAGACAGAATCCCCAGATTAATATGCTAAAAACGCTGTCCTTTCATGATTTAATTAAATTTTAAATTTTATTACTCATCTCTTATTTGCGAGTTAGAAACACCAGAGTTCTTAAACAGCTTCGCACTGCACAAAAATTGTTTTTAGAAATATAACTGAAAAAAAAACTCGATACTTTTGAAGTAAATAACTTATGGTAGCTTTTTAACTGTCTCACTAAAACGTGTGATTCCTTGTTGTTTAATACCCCAAAGTACGTATACCAGACAGAATATAAAAACAGCTTCAACAAAGCACTGGCATTACGAAAGCAAAATCTATAAAAGACTAACATCAAATTTAAAATCGACAACTCCTGGCATGATCTCGATAGAGGCCGTAGAACGTAATGAACCTGCCAATTGAACCCATATAGGTGTGGTTAGCACTGAACGTGAATTGCCTGTTGCAAGCAAAACACGGTATTGCATTTCTAAAAGTAAGAAACATTAAACTGCACTGTAGTTTAGTACCAAACTTATTAGCAAATAACAAGACTTAACTAAAAATAAAGAAATTTCCAGCAACAACAAAATAAACAAAAATTAAACAGTATTAACAACTCACTGGTCTTGCAGAACGTATTTGTAAAACATCGAAACTCTGCAGCGTTCAAAGATAGAATATGGTATAAAAATTGCTCCTTTTCATCATCACAGCGAAGAAACGCATACTGTTTGTAGATTTGACTAAAAATTGTTCAAAACAACCTCGAAAAACATCTTGGAAAAAAAAGTAAATAATCCATATTATTTAAATCCAAAGTAAGTTAATAATGCACAGTTATAAAGAGTCCTATAAAGAACAGACTTACTGTAACAGTGCGGTATTACTTAGAACAGTTTTTAAATGCCTGTGAAGAAGCTTCCTCTCCAGTGACAACCTAACAAAAGCACGAGCAAAGCCCAGATCAGTTTTAATCTCTGTCATTCGTAAGACATTTCTGGAAAAATTTTTAGAATGGAACTATACAGGGCTCTATTTCCCAAGGACGTCCTCAGCAAGCTTCATTACAAAACTTCTTATAATCACAGTTACACAACTCTTCCAAACAGAAATGTCAGTAGCAATCAAAAAGGATAGGGGAGAAGCTGATAGAAGAGCAGAAAAACGAATACTTCAAATCGTAAGCAATATGCGTTGGTAACGGCGGGAAACCTTGACGAACATCAGGACTTCTAGCCCGAACCGTAACTTTTTTTCTAGGCGATGCTATTGCCATATTTTCACTTGCGCTAGCAGTCGACCAGTTCGGTGTGAAGTCTAGAAACAAAGGAATATAAATCCCGTCAAAAAACTGGGCGATAGATCAACACAGAAGCGTTAATTCCAAGCAGCCAATTGAATTAGTTAATTAATTGCCATGCAAACTAACTTGAAGACAAGCATAAAGATGCATAAGTAAAAAACAAGACATTACACCAATCCACTTATAATCTTGAACAGCATTTAGAGAGTAGCTTCCACAGGCGGACCATAATAGAAAAGCAATGCTTTTGAGACAATAATAAACAAAATTTCAAAGCAGCAAGAAGAGGAAAGACTTTTAAGCTTCGTAGTTAACCGTCATTCTGAACTATAAGGTCAAAGCATTTATACGATGCCAACGAATGGTGAATTATGAAACCTGTAAAGACACTTGAACGAGTTTCCACACGATAAAAGCAAGTTATCTAGAAAGAGTAAGCAATAAGAGGAACAGATAACTGAGAATCAACTTACTGGTAAATTCAGACTGAAACACTGAGTTAGTGTAAGATGGGAAATGTTACTGTAAGAGAAGAAGACGGAACGCTTTTTTTTACACTTCCTTTGGGTTAATTGAACAAAAACATTACATAAGGTTTTACATAAGTTAGTAACGCCTCAGAAAATAACGATTAATAAACAGTGTGTTGCTCAAACTTTATCATACCCAAGCCATTGAACGAGTTCGTTTTATGAAGGACAGGGCGAGTCGGACGAACCGGCCGTTGAAAAGAGTGAGACCGTTCGAGATTTGAAGGAATTGACGATGAAAACGGTAAATTTGAAACTGGTTGTACAGCGTTGGATGCAGAGCTTATTTTATCGCAGATAAAATTTGCTGCTCGTAAAATTGAAATCGACCAGGCTGGACCCCCAGCATCCTCTAATTCCTTCTGAATGCTTTGAGCTAATTCCGTCAAAGCATTGCGCTCTTCTTTAGCAAAAAATGACACGTCTTTCTCTTCATCAACGTCTAAAAGTCTCATAATTGACATTTCTTGTACCGAGTGCAACAGGTAATTTTAAAGCACATGACTTATAACCCTATTTTAAAAATTAACATAATTATCAAAAAAGTGATACACGCTAAGAAATTGCCTCGGCTTTAAAATCAAGATGATGAAAGAGAAAAAAATACACGTACAGAAGTAGTCTTTCATCTACGTCTACCATAATAAGACTTACGTCCAAAGGTACAAATTAAAAAAAAATTCAAAGATTAGAATCAGAATAAAGCGCCATCAAAGCGTAGTGTACTTTACATCATTAAAGCTACCTTGAGGAGGAAGAAAAATGTCAATGTATAAAAATGCTCC